AAGACAGTTAGTGAAGAAGATGTGAACAGAGAGTGAGCACAGCTGGAGCCCTGTCTGCAGCTGTACTATGACGGGTGGAGAGGTCACACACGAAGGGAGCTTCTACCCTGCCAGGGGCTGTCAGTGAGGTGGTGACTTAGAAAACAGGAGGCTGCTGCTGCTGCTGCTTGTTAGGGCAACTTTAAAATAACCACCCACATCTTTTGTCTGACTTGGTAGAAAAGTTCCACACACTTAACACACAGAACGGCAACGCCTACATTCCAGGTGATACTAAAGTTAGGAGAGATGTACTGGAGGTGGCACATTAAATCAAATTAAAACATCTGTTTTGCATTTTGTTACTGTGGAGACTACACAGAGTAATCAGGAGTGGGTTCCATTAAGGGAACAAACACAATGCTTTCTGAAAATACAACCCATTTTTGTTGCTTTGGTTCTAAAGGTGTGCTATAAATGATTAAACACTGGAGGCGATACTGTGCTTTTCTTTTATTACCATTACATCAGGGATTATGAACCACAGTAGCAGTTTTATCACTATTGGCGCCTCCCCGGCCAGGGGCTGTCAGTGAGGTGTTGACTTAGAAAACAGGAGGCTGCTGCTGCTGCTGCTTGTTAGGGCAACTTTAAAATAACCACCCACATCTTTTGTCTGACTTGGTAGAAAAGTTCCACACACTTAACACACAGAACGGCAACGCCTACATTCCAGGTGATACTAAAGTTAGGAGAGATGTACTGGAGGTGGCACATTAAATCAAATTAAAACATCTGTTTTGCATTTTGTTACTGTGGAGACTACACAGAGTAATCAGGAGTGGGTTCCATTAAGGGAACAAACACAATGCTTTCTGAAAATACAACCCATTTTTGTTGCTTTGGTTCTAAAGGTGTGCTATAAATGATTAAACACTGGAGGCGATACTGTGCTTTTCTTTTATTACCATTACATCAGGGATTATGAACCACAGTAGCAGTTTTATCACTATTGCATAATAAACCTGAATGGATTATGCTAATCCAGATAATAACATTATGGGATGGAGGCAACCAACTTATACAGGAGAAAAGAAATGATCGGTGGGTACAGTGCTGGAGTTTCCATCAGGTAGACTGTAGTAAACCAGTGCAACAATAACTGAACCAAAACCTAATCAAACAGGCCAGACAGTAATCAGCTCAATCTGGAGCTGCATATTTATTCTCAGGAACACTGTGAGATACCTTCAAAACAGATTATATCAGTCAAATACATCATGGAAATCTCCGCTGACCCTGTCATTAGCCCTCCGAGGCATTATCAGCCACAAGGTTGACAGTGCATAAGTATTTGTTTTGCATAAAAGTATTTGGTGTCCTTCGCAGCTCTGTTTATAAAAGTCTGCTAGATGTGTGTGTGGTTTTGAAGGGATCTCTCAGCCGATCAGCTGCAGCCAGCCTTGTCAGGCTGACAGAGTATCGATGCTAGACGCCTACGTAAACATTTTATCAAGCGACCTTCCTGCTCTCTACTCTGCCTCCACCTTAAAAACGGTTTTCTTTCTTATATCAGCCCTTTCTTTCCCTCTGCTAAGACAACAAAGAGCTCAGTGGGACTCAAACTGCTCTGCACCACTGAAAACTATTCAACCGGGATAGATCACTGTCACCCTAACCAATATGAAGTGAGTCACAGATGCAACCATATTTTGAGGGTGTGTATATGAAACGTAAAAAGGCATAATTAGCTTTTTCACCTCCAGCAGTAGCAGCAGCATTCCTTGATGGGCTCCCAGAAGCAGTTTATCTTTACCACAGCTGCCTGATTCTTAATTACTCCACTGCTAATTACTGCTTGTCCATAATAGGTATAGGGACTGCAGGCTGTCATCCACCCACCATGTTCTTTGTTGACTGGTAAAAGCAAGAGGATGGGTGGCACACCCATACACGTGGATACTCACACACACCACCAGTGCTGCATTCGTGCAGTTGTGCATGCAGCTGTGACTGATGTTCTAACAGGACACAATAGGGTGTGTTACAGTTGATCCGGCAGGCAGGACAGAAGAACAAACAAGGTTCTCAGGGGACAACAGGGTTTGGTTACCTCAAACACACTCCTATTGTTGCTTAGCTCTTTTTTTACCTTGAATTCCAAAATATAAATCTATAAACGAGCTGACGTCAACAACCTCAACTTCGGAGACATCTTTCCCTCGGTGCACCACTTTAAGCAGATTTTTAAAATCTTTCTCAGTTTTTATGAAGTGTAATCACTGCGCTCTTGAATCAAGGTGGCATTCCTCTAATCAAGGCTGAGTGGGTGCTGAATGACATCAACAGCAAAGTAAAGCTTTTTACCTATTCAGCTTTTAACTATTTAAACATGTTACTTCTCCTGCATGTAAAACACATTTCTGATTCAAGCCAGAGTGGAGTTTGCACCCTCCGAAGATTAAACTCAATACAAACTGTATTCAGTGTTCAGAGAAATCAACAGTAATCACATTTAAGTCTGTACTGTAGTCATATCTAATCATTTGGAAACTGTGCATTAAGCCTCATAAGATTTAACCTTAATAATAAAGGCTATTTGGATTTATGTAATTGGAAGTCGATGGACTAAAAAAGAACAGCTGAACTCAGCCCATAAATTAATGGAAGATAATTAAACTCTGCCCATTCAAGCTGATCTCGTTCCTCAACAAAGCCAGTCTGATGTGACGCCTGTCGCAAGTGTAAACATTAGCATTAGAGGCCCCAGGGGCCCTTAGTGTACCTGCCATGCATTTCTACTGGCTTAGGGCACATTGACCTGTCTCGTTAAATTTACTGAGTCTGGCTGTGTGTGTGCATTTACTTGGCTATCTCTGTGAGGACCGGTTTGATACCATGGTAGTCAGGACATTTTGGCCAGTCCTCTTGTTGTTAGGGTCTTGGTTAGATTTAGGGATTAAGTGTGTGTATGTGTGTGTGTGTGTGTGTGTGTGTGTGTGTGTGTAGTTAGCAGGGAGCTGTACAGTACGTCTGCAGGGCCACTGCTTGACCTTTTATCCTGGACACATCACCCCAGTGATTAAGCTCCTGTAGAGATCAGCCACAGAGCAACACTCCGGAGGGAAATCTATGAGATTCTACAGTGCAGAGCGTCTCACTGAACATTAGTCAGTCTGTCATGTTCAGTTACAAAGTGAAAGAAACAGGCCCTGATTGTGAGTTGATTTTGAATTGGCTACAAACCTGAACGAACCAACAAAGAAGGCCAGTACAAACATTACCTCCTTGGCAGAGACAAAAAGTACAGTTGTTATGCCCAGATATCCCTGAAAATAGCAAGAAATTGCTTCCATCAATCTGATAATGTTTACTTACAATAACAAAGACACAAGAAAATGCCTTAGCAAAACCCCCCCACACATGATGGAGAAGTGGAGCAGGCAGTCAAGACTGTGATTCTTTCCACTACCATACAGGCCAAACACTGTGCAGGCTAAACAGTGCCATGTTTCAAGGTGCAAAGACACAAGTCCTGTGGGGAATGTCTTTGTGAGCGTGCCCATCACTATTCAAATGCTCTTCCAGACAATTCAAACGCTTTTCCAGTCATGTGACCTTTGCCTATAGGAAAACACACTGTCTGTTGTCATCAACTATTTATGTGTGGCAAGCCTGAGGTCCATTATATAGTTTTCCATTTGTTGAAAACAAAGAAACTGCTGCTAGTGCAAATAACATAGTTTTACCGGATTCATTAACAGTATCTGGATGCAGCCTGGAGGTGAGCCAGATTTCCCATCAGCCCTAGAGACATTTCCAGTCACAGTTTGGATGCGACTGCTTACCGAAGCCCAAAATATTGCGTTAAAGATGTCCCAGGGGGCCGTGAGCGACTCCCCTAAAGATATAACAAATAACTACACTGCCTTACTATGTCATTTGGCATCACATGGAGAGAACACAAAACAAATAGTCTTTGTTCTGTTGCTGTGTGGTTTTCCAACCTGCTATCTTGGGTCATCTGGGGTTTTTCTTCAAAATTCACTCTCCTTTATAAAGAGCCAACTAAGCCCACTGGTCAAAATTTCTCACATTTGATATTTTGCTCCTTTTGCTTGTCCTATCACTATCATTTTGTCTCTGAGACTGACGAAGTATTCCCACTATAACGTCCATTCAGTGGCTGTTCTGGAGCTCTCAGCTATATCACATGGTCTTTCTCAGTTGATGAACCATGAAAGCCTATGTTCAAATGTCCAGTTTTCCATTTTCAGAATCAGAATCATCCTTGAACGTACAGGAATCTGACTCAGTACAGAGGCCCTCGGTGTGTTTTTAGGCAATAGGAAATATCAGTGAAAATGCAATAAACAGTGTGAAGAAGAAATATGAGGAAGAGGAAATATGTGCAATCATAAGAACTTCATGTCCATGATGACTTTAAAGGTCAAGGTGAAAAGTTCATTCCTCATTCTTGAGCTTCCACAACAGTGCCTTACAAAGTAAACTGCCTATATATAAAATATTGATTATTTTATTATAGAACATCATCAATATTTGTGATGAGGTTATTGGACTGTTTAGCAGAGGAAATAAGAACTTTAGAAGATGGGTTCCCTTAAGTTGTTGTGTTTAAATAGATAACTGATTGACCAATACATGACAATGATATTTGCCTCTCTATAATTAATAGACTACACAAACTCACAGCTTCTTTTCAATCTGAGGCAAAACTGTGAACAACTTCCAGAGTGATAACATGCAAATACTATATCTACAAACTCCGTGTGGAAGTGTGACAGTAGCCCATCAGGGAGACACAAAGATTAGTAACTGGGGTAAAAGTAAAGGCCAGTGCGTAAATCAAAGCTGAAGTCCACAGACACACACAAATACGCATAAAGATTTCAGGTGAGTTGCAGCAAAGATTGGTGAAGCAAAAGAACCAGCGGTATCAACCATAACCTGTCTTTAGATAACAATACAACCCATCATTTGTCCATGTGCAGGCTGCTTACCCGGTTACAGTCTGGCCGCGTTCACCTCCATCACATCGCAGAGAAGACGTCCTGTTTCTGAGCAGGTTGGACCCTCACAGCTCCTCGGACTGAAGGATGTGGGTTACACACCGGGATCCGTGCAGACCAGACAGCACTGACTCAAAATCACACACTCCTCAGTCAGTCGTTGATTATTTGTCCTTTCCTTGTGCTATTCGGGGGGATTTTTATCGGATGATCTCGGATGCACGACCTCTTTGCGGGTTTCTCCTTGGGAACTGTGCTGCCTTCACGTGCCACTCGTAAATTCAAGACTACCAGTTTTAAATTCGGATCAACGTAACGGGATGTCTTCTTTCCTCGGCTTAAATCATGTCAGTAACATGGTTATGGTATGATTTATATATGTATAAACTGCATATTTTATGTAAAATTGTTATATGCTGTTGTATATTAAACTCAAAAGGCTCAGAGCCACAGGAAAGGCTTACAAAGAGGACACATTGCCTGTAGGAAATTCATATCGTGACTTTAATATTTCCGACAGCAAGTGAAAGCGGCACTAGCCATAGGACAACCGCTCTCAGCATATGACTGGCACAGAAGACAATGTCTAGCTGTGGTCACACTCGGCCCATATGTCCCCCTTGTCGGCCCAGATATTGGTGGTGTTCACTCTCCATCATTTAGCAAGAGTCCAGTCAGAGCCAGATGTGTCTGTGCTCTAACAGCTGCCTGCTCCTTCTACTCCTACTGACTGACTAAAGATATGAACATCTGTACATTGTGATAGATATACAGAATAATCTGCGACTGCGGAATTGCAGTGTTACACAGCGAAGCCACGTAACCAACAAGATAAACAAACTACAACAAAAGAAGAAGAAGAAGAAAACAGCTGTTGGTAAAACTAAACTAAACTAAATTAATATAGTCAACAGGTCTGTGGTTTGTGCTGTTGTTGAACTGTGCTTCTATCATTTCACTTAGCCTAATCACTAAAATTATGATACATGTTTTTGTTCAAATTATAGTAAAAAAAAAAAGTTTGTTTTGGCTGTGCACGCTTCCTCTCAGGCTCAGACTCAGGCTGTCATCTCTGCTACTGGTTTACAACCCGGGAACTCTCTATTGTGGCTCGACCGCTGCAGTCAACTGTGGATAGTTGCTTGGAAACAGTAAACCTTACCTCCCACAGCCCAAGGGCAACCCCCACAGTAACTGATATCACCAGAGGACAGCCACTGTTTACCTCCATCCATGGAAACAGACCCCGACTGGTTTCTTTTCACTTGATAGGCGACAGACACAATGAAAAAGAATTCCTGTCCTTTTGCAGTCCATCCGGGTCACTTCAAACAAGGTGCTGGCATCTTTTAAATGGGAATGTAATCACAAAAAGTGGTAAAATTAGCCTTATGTTGGTTTACTGTTTACTTGCCCCTTGCATGGGGACATACACATCGAGAGCCGATGTACCTGAGTCAAATTCCTTGTGTGTCCGACACACCTGGCCAATAAAGCTGATTCTGATTCTGATTCTAAAATCACAACGAGTGCCTGAAATAATCCCAATCTGCACCCATCCCAACATTTTTAGACTTGAAATGTACAATATAGAGGTTATAAAGCAGTTTATTTGGAGCACTGTTTTCTGCTTAATACCAATGTTTCCTCTGTTGTTCCTTCCTATTTCAGATTATTCTTAGCATCTCCAAAACCACTTTTCTTCTGCATCGAACTCACAGACACATGTGTACATATAGTACAAAGCATCCCCTCAAGTGGTGTAAGTGGACAGGAGGTCTGTTGAGACAAATACAGGATAACACACTTGTGTAATCTTGACAGATCTTGTCTTAGATGTTGGTCCTTTAATGTTTGAAGGCAGTAGAGCATATGGCCGCAGTAAACTGCAAACAGGGCATGAATTTAAGGCTTAGGAATAATTAGGGAGAGGAAGAGAGATAATTTCACCATCACAGGGTTCGTGGTGCTCAGAGCTTTTGCAGTTTGTGGAGGTTGAAACTGCAATCAGAAGCATGTCTGCATCAGTTCATTAGTCTCTCATTGCTAGAACATCAATGAGCTGGAGCTGTTTAGCTCAGTCAGTAATTAGTTTTACAGCTCAGGCCAGTGATGCTGCTAATTTAGTGCATAGGTCTGGCAGTGTTGGGACCCACCTGTAGGTTGAGGCTGTATTTGTTATACTGACTTTTATTCATTCTGAATTTAAGCATTTTTAAAGTTAACAAACACATAAAAGGACAATATCACATTTTATGCACAACACAGAACAGTGCACGTCCAGCAATGGCTAAATAATGTCACAATTATTTTCAAAAAGTGCAATTATCTCACTCCACTGTCAGAGTTGATTTGGTTTTACTAGCTATTGTTTTAAGTAAAACTACATTCTCAAGAATGTTTTTATTTTTTACTTTTAACATAAACTCAAAAGCAAGGTTTGTTATGATATGATTGCTGTGTTTATACATTACATGAGCATCACCGGTTTTTGTTCCTGTAAAAATCTGTTGATCTTTACATGTTAAAAAAAAGCATTCCAATCTATTTTGTGCTCTAATGGAATATAATTTAAACTATAAATAGTTTTTCAATAATTATTATTAGGAGTTGAGTGGGTAAGTGAACAATGGGGGCCAAGTGCATGCTGAATCACACACATCAACCTAAAATAAATGATGATAAATTCAATATAGCATCAAATATTAACATTTGAGAAGCTCTTATCAGTGAATTTAGCTTAAGATTAATTAAATTATTAATGAGTTTGTTTAAAAATACTTTTCTGTCCGTTGACTAATTGATAAATCAGTACTATTCCATTTAGTTCTAGTTCTAGTGTACTGGGTGGTTCCCCTGCACCTCATAATAACAAACCTGTGGTGTATAGTCGGGGTCAAAGGGGGCACAACAACAATCCCTTTAGAAGCCTAATACCCAGGAAACGTGACCTTTTTTTTTTTTACAAAATTTACTTCAACACATAACAGTGAATATCACGTTAACATAATACAATACATGAATGCTGAGTCTAATAAGAAACATTCAAGTACCAAATTGTCCTGAAGCTGCATTAAGAAGATTTGATTGACAGGCCTTGAACCAATCACACGAGAGAACATCCGGCTGACCAATTATAAACTCCTACCAGAAGAAGGTGGGACTTAACGGCATCAATGAGGTGGTCCGTACTCCGCCTTACATGGTTATCGAATTAAAAAAAAAAACTGTAGAAACTTTACAGCCCATGAAACTCTCAGGATGAATGGTACAGCATACTCCAACTTTGACAATCAAGAACATGTCCTGAAATTAGGAGAGACGTTTGAGAAACACCCGAAAAGTGCCTACCATACTGTACGATGTAAGTGGGACTTTGAATCAGTTAGTTGTGTCTGGCTGTTGCTGCAGCTAACACTAGCATGCTAGTTAGCTCATTAGCTAACAATCCGAAGACAGCTGTTTGACATGGAGCCAGGTTTAGCCTTCTTGTCAAACCAGTTGCCTCCTCTGCTTCTGTCGTCTTTTAGTAAGTTGACAGTGCTCTGTCTTCTTTGTCATTTTCATAAGTTAATTCTCGACTTCTGCAAGCCATTGATGCCCCAGCTGCCAAAATGTTACTTAGCTAATGATAGCATTGGTTAATCTGTACGATAATACCATCTGGTGGTACAAATAGTTAACTGAAACACTGAGTTGGAATAGTATTATAACATCAGTGGTAGTGTTGCCGATGCTGAGAATATATTATATACATTAATTTGTGGACCTATAATATGTACTTTTTATGTATTTTGTTTTATTTTTTGTCATAGATGACTTCAAACCAGCCTCCATTGATACAGCATGTGAAGGAGAGCTTGAAGTGGGCAAAGGAGAGCAAGTCACTATTACTTTACCTAATTTAGAGGTCAGTGTGTGATGCTCCAAAGCTGTTCTCTACCAGAAATATGTGTGGATGTTTGGCATGGCTGGATGGATTAACCTTCTGGGCTCATCTGGGCAAAGATTTGTTGTTGGACCCCTGTTTACGAGCTCAATCAAGAACATGGCACTGAGCTGAAGTTGTCTTTTTGAATATGTTTTGTGGCTTTGAATCAGTGGACAGGCCTTACTTTTTCATTGATACCACAATATTAATAATTAAAACAAGAAATAAAACAGAACAGACCACATGTCTGGTCAAATGTTTCCAGGAGAAAGGGGACTCAGACTTCCAGTATTTCAAAATCCTGACTACAACCCTGCCTGTGTTGCCTGTATTTTTAGGGTTCAAGTGCTCCAGTCACGGTCTTCAAGGGATCCAAGAGGCCATACATG